GTGAGGGCTATCGCTACTTGTTAGTAGTGAGGTATCCCTAGGGTTACAGGATTAGTTGTGCTGTAGCTAGTAGTTAGGTTAACCACGTGCATGAGGCGTATTCCATTGCCTGTTCAGGTGTACTGTGTAAATAAACCTTGTATTGTTTGTATATACCTCATTGATTTATTATTGCAATAAACCAATTACTTCATTGATTGTTCTTGGAAGTCGTGTGTCACTGTGGGACTGATTTGGTTTCCCTTCATTTAACTCATTCAATTGCTCTACTGCCACTGAGTCTTAGTCGGAGAACAGCCACCGTGGTCTACCCTATAGAGTCAGTTCACTCTCCCTGTTTAAGTGACCAGGAAGATAAAATATAGCCAGGTGTGACTTTAACTTCTATTTGCAAAACTATTTTGATTAAGAACAATGTCGTCGGAAACCTTTCGTGAGAGGCCAACTCGTCAGCCGTGGAATTTTGGGTCTTTATGGAGACAAATCCTGACGTTTCACAACCTCCACTTGTCTAAAAACAACCAATCAGCAGTCAACAATGCAGATTTTGTTGTAAGTGCCATATTGACGTTGCTGTTGAATAAACTGATCGTTGAAAGGTTTTCCGGCCCTTGCGTTGTTAACAACCTTTCCGTTTCCACGAACACTGTAAGCAAGAAGAGGCTGATACTGGATCTGAGGTACGTTGAAAATTCCTGGAAAGAAATTTGATTGGAAGATTGGAAAGTTGCTTTGGAGTATTTTCAGAAGGTGATTTCATGATTTCATTTGATTTTAAGGCAGGTTATTGCCACATCGAAATTTTTACCATTCGCATTTCCTCGGTTTATCCTGGAAAATTAGTGGGCAAATTCGTTAGTTTTCCTTTCAGTTTTTTCCTTTTGGGATATCCACGGTACCCTACATTTTGCCTCCAACGTTTAGTAAAGTATTGGAAAAACTTATATTTGGATGACGGCTGTGCTCAGAACCAACCCAAATTTTATAGTACATGGATCTCAGAAGCTATCAAAAGTGACATCTTGGCCGCAGGGTTTGTATCAAACAGAGAAACGTCAGTATAGGTACCATACCGTACCTTGAGAATTGATTGGTTGGCTTTGACGTGAGATCAAGAGCAAGGTTCAATTCAGGTAGAACGCAGACTGGCGGACATCGTGAACACGATTGTGGAAATTCAAAATGCCTTTCCCGCTGTTACAGCGAGAAAAATCGCTTCTTTAGCAGAGAAGATAATTTCCCTTGGTCCAGTTGTAGGCCCTCTGGCCCAATTGAAGTCAGGATGTATGTATCATGAGATTGTGATGAACCTGTACCACTGTAGTAAGAGTTTCACGCTGTCTAGGGAAAGTGGAGTCACTGAAGAGTTATTTTTGGAAGCGTGAACTGGGTTGATATGAATAAACACTTATTCGTGACTATTCTTTGCCACAGGTGCTCATCTTCTGGGATGCAAGAAACACTGGATGTGGAGCTTGGACAGCACAGTGCGGCGGCCTATACAGTTCAGGCAGTCCGAACGGCAGAAGAAATATGTAGAAATTCCACTTTGAGGGAGCTCAAATGCGTGACACTGGCCATGAACGCTTTCCTCTCGAAAATTGTTGGGAAAACCACGTAGACATTCACTGAAACCAAAGGAGTAGTCGGTGTGGTGAAGCAAGATAACTGGTTGCTGAATTACATGATCCGAGTATGGATATATTCATTGTGTGTGATTCCCATTAAATCAATATGAACAGTTGGTGAGTCCCTAGCAAGTATAATTCTGTTGCAGATGAGCTGAGCAGAGAAATAGAGTTCGTTGACTGGTTATTTCGGCTGTATTTTTTTTCAGATTTGTGGACAGCATTTGGTAACTGCACACAATCGATGGGTTTGCCGATGATTTCAACCACAAACTTCGACATTTAATTCAAAGCATTGGTACCAGCCATATCGTTTGGCTAGTTCACCCAATTTCCCTAGTCAGTCAGGTACTGAAGTATGTTAGTGTTTATAAAGCCTAAGGCACCTTAGATATCCCAGCCTGGCCCTCTGCATCTTTCCGGCCAGTCTTTTTCTCCCTTTCTTGTCCCTGGCTCCGCTCAGTTGCTGAAGCGGTTTAATGATCCCTGGAACATCTTCACTGGGCGCAACCAAAATTCGTTGTTTGGTTCCAACAAGATGAAGACTGGTGTGCTTTGTGTACGGCTCTATGGAGCCTTTTACAGGTCGTGAAGTTAGAACAGATAACCCACTTGGCAAATTCTGTACAATACAGAAAGGAGTTGTGAATCCACTGAGTGTTCTCCTTACAGACGATGAGGGAATGTTGTTCGATTGTGTGCCGAGATGATAAGGCTGAGACAATTACTTGGGAAAAAATCCCCTTTTGTTTCACGGGAGTAACGGCAATGTGGTCATTTACTATTGCTCATTTTACCTAGGGATATATCTTACCTAAAATACATGTAGCCTGTGACGATAGCCTCCAGAGCACCGACAGGTGTTTCTAAATACAAGAGGGCGTTTACAGCATATAGTGTCTGATGCGCCAAAGATGCAGCCCCCTCACTTCCTAATTGTCGTCAGGACTTGGCAAGGTACCTCGTCTACTTGCATAACAATGGTTCGCCGTTCTTCACCACAGAAACTGCTCACCATTGATGTCCACTAACCCATGTGGTGACAATGTTTTCAAATTGTTCATTGGCTTTAAAAGGAGGTCGTCTTTCATTATCATATACGAAAAGAACATTGCCACCGCCCAAAATATTGAAGATGATTGTTCTCCAATCTGGGCTTTGTGATGGACATTAGTTTGTTTGCTATGTTGCTTGTCTCGTTTGCAGGTTTCCTAAGAAATGAGGTACGCATTAGCTTAAGATTGTGTGATAATAAGATTTGTCTGCACTGTGCTTAGTCGTGAATAACGAACGGGACATATCAGTATCGGGAATGTGCCACTGGATTTGGACACTTCTCCATTCGATATGTGAAATTTGTACATGCATCGCAGGGTGTACTGCTATTACTTCAGACAACTATCCGTCTAAACCACTAAGGTTTAAGAAAAGGTCGCACTCTTATGTACCCAAAAAAGGACAGTTATCTTTCCCCACTTGAAATATTCTGAAGGGTACACTTTGGGCCATTGGTGAGGATGACACCAAGTTGGGCTACATAGCCTACAGGCTGGCGGCGCGTCGGCAGCAACAGCTGCTGTAGGCCTATCCCAGACCGTTTGGATAAAAAAGGTCATTCGAAGTCAAACTCTTCAAAAGACAGGTACGCCAGAGAAAGTTTGTGGTGTCAACTTCGAGTTTCTAGTATCCTTGGATTATATCAGTTACCCCCTGATTTATTAGATTAAGATGCCCCACTTGTTTCGTGAATACTCGCTAAGTCGATTCAGTTATATACAAACATGTTCAATTCTTAGAGAATTGCCACTTAGGAATTCTGATCGTGGGTGCAGATGAACTTGAAAAAAAATATTAAAAAAATAAATAAATATATAAAAAAATCCCAAACAAACAAACGAACGACCGGCGTTTACCCGCTCCTTAATCCTTGACCAGGAGCACGGGCTCGTAGGCTCCTCGTCGAAGAACCTTGCTCCCCGTATTGCAGGTATGACCTTAAGCATAGTTGGAAATAATTCATTCCGTTTGAGTTTACGAATTATGAAATAAGAAGCTTTCTCTCATGTTTCTTTTTCAAAAAGTTTTCCTTTTCCCTCGCCAATCATTTGAGGCAAGATGTAAGACGAAGGGAACCCCCCCCCGCTTTGTGTTGGTCACTGTTTTACTGGAATCCGAGGAATTCTTTCAGACAAGGGGGGGGATGTGTTATATAGTAACAATATTCTGGAGCGTGCGACTGGGCAAGTTGGGGGATACCCCTCGGTCTCGTTTCTTGCTGTGGGTATATCACCAATGACCCAGTGAATGGAGGGTAAACAAACCCTTTAGCTTGTCACGTGACGAACACCTGCTCGCATTCCAATACATTACAATGCCCAGTAGCAAGTACCGGCGTGTGTGGTTTGTCAGAACAAAGTACTTTCGTGCTTCGTGTAAAGCTGTATGTTTCTCATTGTAAACATAACTGGTCAAGATTCACGTGAATGCACTCCAAAATCACGAAGTGCTACGCAGTGCTGTATGCAGTCGC